ACCAGCCATGGAGAATGCAGCTTGGGGGTGCATCTGTCACTGAGTCTTTCTTAGGACAGCAGGGATAACTTGGTTTGCTCTGTCTGATTTGAGACACCTCTGGTTACCAATGCTTTGGGGTATCATATTTAGTACCAGCTATGTGCGTCTCTAAGGAGTGAATGGAGGCTGATGGAGACAACTAGTACATACGATGTATATTTAATGTAACAGTTCCTCAAGGCAGATTATCATTATGATGAATCTGCGTCGCTTCGCTATTGCCAAAATAAAATAACTTACACTGCCAAGTCGCCTCTTCCTGTAAAAGGCTGAATATCTCTGGTATACTTCACCTGCCTTTTTATTGGTCTATTCTACCAGCTTGAACCAAATCTGCCACAGCTGCAGAATTGTGGCTCAATAGGTAGAGTCCTTGCCTAGCATGCACAAAGCCCTGGGGTCCATCCCTAGCATTGTCCAAATCAAGTACGGTGGTTTGGACATGCCTCAGCCGCTTGGAAGATAGATACAGGAGGATCCTGAGTTCAGGGTCAGTCTCAAGCTACCTAGCAAATCCAAGGCCATGTATCTGTGATACATGAGACCCTGTCTCAAAAGAAATATCTACCCAGTGGCAGGGGTCAACACAGAGACTCAACTTGTTAGAGTGTTGAGAATAAATGACTGTTGGGGCATCTGTATCAATCCCCCTGACCAACAAGTTGTGGATTATCAAGGAAGAAGGGGCAGAAAGAATGAGTGTAAGAGCCACAGGATAGGGAGGAGGCTGTGGAACACTGTCTTCTGGCCGTGACATGGCCATTGCGTTCATAAACTCATGGCAGCTGTGCTTGCCTGCCCAGGAAAGAGCAAGCCAGTCAGAGTCCCGGTGTGGGTGGAGGACAGGCTCATGAAGAGCCACCCCTAGGGGAGAAGCTGCTGGCAGTTGGTGTCTGTTTGAGGAGGAATCGTTTTTTCTTCAAGGATGGTCGGTGATAGGTTGTCCACACTCCAATGGGTATTCAGGCATCAATAATTGGACTCAGTTAGTTATTAAAAATAAAAAAGAAGAGGCATAAAGGGGGTACTGAGAAGGAGAGGAGATTTGGGTTGGATATGATTAAGATACATTGTATATGTATGTGAAATTACCAAAGAAATTAAAAGACTATTCCTTAAAAAAAATCTGTCTTGGGGTGATGATGACTCATGCCTTTAATCCTGGCACTTGGGAGGCAGAAGCAGGCAGATCTCTGTGAGTTTGAAGCCAGCCTGGTCGACAGAGAAAGTTACATACTACACAGAGAAACCCTGTCTCAGAAAACCAAAACAACAACAAGAACAATCTGCCTTAACCAAACAGAGCAGCAATATCCATAACCACTGAGAAGCCCTGTCTTTTCAGATTGTAAGCCGCAGACCAGACAATACATTGGAACTGCGGATGAATGTTGCATTGTGACTAGCTTTGTTAGTAATGTACACGCATGATTATGTAAACCTCATAAAATGCTAGACTCCAGAACACTTCCCATTTAGGTGTAGAGTCATGATGGGTAAGATAGCAAAGCACACAGGTGGGCTGCAAACCCAGACAAGCGTGTCCTTGGAGCAGGAATGGAACACTGAGTGGGCTAAATCAACTACCAGGCTTCCTTCCAAAACCAAGCAGCAATGGACCACGGCTCTGCCAGCAAAGCCAACTAGAAGTGTTCCCGGCAAGATAAGAGCCTGGAGCCTGGTCACTCTGTGAAGCCAAAGCTTCTGTTCCCAGGAGGATCTGGAAGAAGGATAATGGACCAGAAGCTAAAGCTGGTGCCTCAGAGGAAAGTGCCCTAGGGCACCTCCCAACCAGAGCTCCAGTCAGCCTGCTCACTGCCATCTCCCAGCATGGACCTGGAAGGTGATAATACCCCCAGTGAAATGCCAGAGCTCTGTGGAAATGCCTAGGGATGGCCCCCAGGGCCGGATGGACACAGAAATCACAAGAGCACACTCGGGTAGTGGAAAACCACCCCCTACTCCAAACACACCTTCCCCAGAACGGGTGAAGAAAACTGAAAAAAGGGCTGAGATCAAGCTGTGCTCATGCATAATCTCAGCACTCAGAAGGCCACAGTAGTGCACATCCAACTTGCTCCAGGTGGGCTGACAAAATGTCCTTTCTTCTTCCCAGAGCCCTCTCTGCACAGAAGTTCCACCTATTCTCTCCTGCCTAGCTATTGACCGTTCAGCTGTTTGTTACACCAATTCCAGCAACACATCTTCACACAGTGTACAGACATCCCACAACAGTTGCCTGAGGAAGTGGTACATTAGAAGTGAGTTCTGGGTTCTGCCAGGTCTGAGCAAGCTCGAGAGGACTGCAGAGCACACCCTTCTAGGAAAGAGGGACCACAGGGCAGGAGCATGTGTCCTTGGGAAGGATGTGGCCGTGCGAAGTAGCATTGGAAGATATTTTCTAAAACCGCAGAGAGTTGAGTCCTTTGTGCCCAGTGTGGAGCAGGGAGGATCCACGTGTACCCAAGAATAAAGTGGCACTAGAAAACCCAGGATTCAGTAAAGTCTCACCAACCGCCATAGAGAAAGATGGGTCACTCACTAAACCACTGAACTAAATTGGCAGCAGACATCTCACCAGCAAATAAACAGGAGGAAACGAAATCATGTTTTCAAATGCAAAGGGGAAATTACTTTCAACACGTGATTGTCAAACTTTCCGAAATATTCCTCAAGAAAGAAAGCGCCCTGCTGAAGCTACCCCAACTAAACAAAGTGGGCACACAACAAAAGACTTAAAATAGGGTCAGCATTTGTTAGGAAGAGGAAAGTTCTCGGCAGGAGGAGGGGGGTGAGAGAGGTTAACAGGAGGTGGAAAAGGCATAAAATTCACTGAGAAAGAACAAAGATAATTTTTTAATTAAAAATAAAGGAAGGCTGGTGAGTAGAGGGCCCTGTGGCTAAGAGCACTTGTGGCTCTTGTAGAGGATGCAGATTGGTTTCCCAGCACCCACGTTGGGCTGCTCGTCCATCACTCCAGCTCTAGGGCATGTGACGCCCTTCCCTGGCCTCTGTTGCATTGAAACACATGTGACACACACACACACACACACACACACACACACACACACGCACGCACGCACGCACGCACGCACGCACGCACGCATGCACACACGCACACACGCACGCACGCACGCACACGCACATATATATGTGAAAAATTTTAACCGTAGCTGTAAAGAAATGTTTTTAAAAATGATTAAAGCAAGAAAGACATTTATTTTCAAACCTATCAGTTATGAAAAATAAGGACAGGATGTAGTCTATATGACGTTACTTAAGTCACTTAATGCCTTGGTCTCTTGAACTATAAAATGGGAATCACAGCGTACTGCCTTATGAGATTACGGTGACAGTTAAACCAGGCACAGTGACACACACCTGGAATCCTAGCACTTGTGAGGTAGAAACAAGAAGAGTAGGCATTCAGGGTCAACCCCAGCTACATGGGATGTTTGAAGCCAGCCTGGACAACATGATACCCATTAAATAAAATGAAATGTAAAAGTGACAATTCAGAATTAATCCTGTGATCCTGGAATAGGGACAGTTGTGTGTTGAGCACTATGTACATGTGCTGCTGTCACCATCGTCCTCCTCGTCCTCCTCATCCTCCTCGTCCCTAGGAGAGGTGTGCTTCCTGCCCAAATTGATAGCGCCCACACCTAGAAGGGCTGGCGGGGGCCCTGGGTGCCTCTCAGCAGGTGGACGGACACTGGGCACCTCGTGCTTTACGATGCTTCGTGTACTCGGCTGGTTGTCAGCTTTGCGCGTCTGTCTGGTGGGCTCTGGCGCCCTGTCCCCTCTTGTAATCACGGACTATGCCGCCGGGGTCCGCTTCGAAATGCGTTCAGCTTCTCCCTCTGTAATCAGTACAAAGACCTTTGCTGTCACAAAGCCCTGGCTCTTGTAGAATCACCACACCTGGGTTTCTAGCCTTTAAAGATACAGACAGAGTTGTTCTGTTTTCTTCCTGTTTACATTTACTTATTCGTGGGTGCCTGTGTGGAGGTCAGTTCTCTCCTTCCGCCTTGCGGGTCCCCGGGCTCAAACTCCAGACACCGGTGTCTTTATCCACCGCCTCACCAGCCCCAAACCAACTGTCCCTGCATTATTAATTCCATACATCATTACTCTGTGCTCTTTGGTTGTTATTCGTCCTCTGAACTGTTGCTCATTGTCCAAATAGTTCCAGGTTCCTGAGCCTCTTGGTGAGGGTGGCGCCTCTAAGTTGGTTTCAGGAGTTCCCCGCCTCATCCCAGACCTCCCACCCTGTCTCTCCTGTGTTGCTCCCCTAGGAGCTGCTCTGACTCCATAGGCTTCTCAACCAAGCCCTGGCAGGGCAGCAGAGGGCCTCAAGATTGTTCTCCAAGGCAGCAAATTCCCGCATGAATGGGTTGCTATTGAGCACTGTTTATGTGCTCTCGTCTCTAAAGAACGTGGGAAAGCTTCCGTGAGAGCCCCGGGACATCACAGCCAGTTATGCTAATCATGCGTGTGGTGCATGACGTGGGTGGGGAGAAAGCGGTAAACAAGAACACCAGGAACTGTTTCCATATTTCTTCTTTCCGACGTTTACACGTCTCATACACAAACAAATACAGCAATGAAAGCCATCCAGTTCAAGGCAAGATTCTCCCAGGCCTCAGTGATAGAAGAAATATGAAGGTTAAAAATATTGAAAAGTCCCTAAATACTCACGTTACCATGACTTGTTCCATGCCCCGGCAATACCACTGCTTTGTGTCAATCTTTGATGTGGTGAACAAAATCAGATATTTCATTTTTCCATAACATGGGCTAAGAATAAAATCTTGGTGGTGCTGGAATCAAATGTTATGTTCTCCAGGCAGAGGAAATGGACATTTATTGGATGTTATTGCTACTTTCCTTGTGCTAATGACATTACAAAAGCTCTTTGGGTAATATAATTTGAAACTATTATTTCTGTATTTCAGGTCATGCAAGACAGGATCATCTGCCTCCCGAAAAGAGTGCAGCCTGATCAGAACCACTCTTCCCTTTCCAATGTCTCTCAGGCAGTTATCAGTACCACGCCACTGCCTCCGCCTAAGCCCTCTCCCACCAACCCCGCCACGGTGGAGATGAAAGGACTGAAGACAGACCTGGACCTTCAACAGTACAGCTTCATCAACCAGATATGTTACGAGCGAGCCCTCCACTGGTATGCCAAGTACTTCCCGTACCTTGTGCTCATCCACACCCTGGTCTTCATGCTCTGCAGCAATTTCTGGTTCAAATTCCCCGGTTCCAGTTCCAAGATAGAACATTTCGTCTCCATCCTGGGGAAGTGCTTTGACTCCCCGTGGACTACACGGGCGCTCTCCGAAGTGTCTGGGGAGGACTCGGAAGAGAAAGATAACAGGAAGAACAACATGAGCAGGCCCAACACCATCCAGTCCGGTCCTGAAGGCAATCTGGTCAACGCCCAGTCTCTCAAGTCAATTCCTGAGAAGTTTGTGGTTGACAAATCCACGGCAGGAGCTCTGGACAAAAAGGAAGGGGAGCAGGCGAAGGCCTTGTTTGAGAAGGTGAAGAAGTTCAGGCTGCACGTGGAAGAAGGTGACATCCTGTACGCCATGTACGTCCGGCAGACCGTGCTTAAGGTTATCAAGTTCCTGATCATCATTGCGTATAACAGCGCTCTGGTTTCCAAAGTCCAGTTTACAGTGGACTGTAACGTGGACATCCAGGACATGACGGGCTATAAAAACTTTTCTTGCAACCACACCATGGCTCATTTGTTCTCTAAGCTATCCTTCTGTTACCTGTGCTTCGTGAGCATCTATGGCTTGACGTGCCTTTATACCTTGTACTGGCTCTTCTACCGTTCTCTGAAGGAATATTCTTTCGAGTATGTCCGGCAGGAGACTGGAATCGATGACATTCCGGATGTGAAGAATGACTTTGCCTTTATGCTCCATATGATAGACCAATATGACCCTCTCTATTCCAAGAGGTTTGCAGTGTTCCTGTCTGAAGTCAGTGAGAACAAATTAAAGCAGCTCAATTTAAATAATGAGTGGACCCCCGACAAACTGAGGCAGAAGCTGCAGATGAACGCCCACAACCGCCTGGAGCTGCCTCTGATCATGCTGTCCGGCCTTCCTGACACCGTGTTTGAGATCACAGAGCTGCAGTCTCTGAAGCTGGAGATCATTAAGAACGTCATGATACCCGCCACCATCGCCCAGCTAGACAACCTCCAGGAGCTCTCTCTGCACCAGTGCTCTGTCAAAATCCACAGCGCAGCGCTCTCTTTCCTGAAGGAAAACCTCAAAGTCCTGAGCGTCAAGTTTGATGACATGAGGGAGCTGCCCCCCTGGATGTACGGCCTCCGAAACCTGGAAGAGCTCTACCTGGTTGGTTCTCTGAGTCACGACATCTCCAAAAATGTCACCCTGGAGTCTCTGCGGGATCTCAAAAGCCTTAAAATCCTCTCCCTCAAGAGCAACGTCTCCAAAATCCCTCAGGCCGTGGCGGATGTGTCCAGTCACCTCCAGAAGATGTGCATCCACAATGACGGCACCAAGCTGGTGATGCTGAACAACCTGAAGAAGCTGGTCAACCTGACAGAGCTGGAGCTGGTGCACTGTGACCTGGAGCGCATTCCCCATGCCGTCTTCAGCCTCCTCAGCCTCCAGGAACTGGACCTGAAGGAAAACAACCTGAAGTCAATAGAAGAAATCGTGAGCTTCCAGCACTTGAGGAAGCTCACCGTGCTCAAACTGTGGTACAACAGCATCACGTACATCCCAGAGCACATCAAGAAACTGACCAGCCTGGAGCGACTGTATTTCAGCCACAACAAGGTAGAGGTGCTGCCTTCCCACCTCTTCCTATGCAACAAAATCCGATACCTGGACTTGTCCTACAACGACATCCGCTTCATCCCGCCCGAAATCGGAGTTCTGCAGAGTTTACACTATTTCTCCATCACCTGTAACAAAGTCGAAAGCCTTCCAGACGAACTCTACTTCTGCAAGAAACTTAAAACTTTGAAGATTGGGAAAAACAGCCTCTCCGTACTTTCACCAAAAATTGGAAATTTACTGTTTCTTTCCTACCTAGACATCAAAGGCAATCACTTTGAGGTCCTCCCTCCCGAGCTGGGAGACTGCCGGGCTCTGAAGCGAGCTGGGTTAGTTGTGGAAGAGGCTCTGTTTGAGACCCTGCCCTCAGATGTCCGGGAGCAAATGAAAGCCGAGTAGCTGATTTCGCATCAAAACGTGACTGAAATACGCTTCTACCAAATACAGTATAAAGAGTTAGGTCATCCTAATGCCTTTCCTAGATTATTTTTGGGTTTTTTTTTTTTTTTTTAGTTTTTTTGTTTTTCACACAAGACAAAATGTACACAAAGATTGAGTAAGGAGTATGTATTTTTTAATAAAAATTTGATTGTATTTTTTCAATATTAATATTTTTAAGTTTTATTTGTCCTGGAAGCTAATGCACCTTGTTATTTCCTACCGATAGGAATGGGTGGTTCCTTCTGGCTTTGGGTTTTGTTTTTTTACTTAAGTTCATTCTTGTGAAAGGAAAGGAATTGTAGCTCGTGTGCATTTTGGCATATTTTAAATGGGTTAAGATAACTTTGCCAACACCATTTTTACCTTGTTCCTCCTTGTCCAGGTCTCTGTCAGTACCGTCATCATGTGTACCAAGGAGTCTGGGCCGGTTGTCCTCAGATCAGCGGCCTTCTCCCTTGGCCAGTTTTCCACTCCGTAGTTCACATAAGTGCAATGTCACAGAGCACCGTCTTGAAAATTCTCCCTCTTCCAACACTATCAATTGTGTTATTTCCCAAACAACATTTCCAGTTCGCCTCAGAGGGGCTTTTTAAATGGGTGAAGAACGCAATCCCCAGTGGTCACCATCCCCATGTTCATTTATCATTTGCTGTTTAACTGATTTGTATTTTTACCAACCTCCTAAAATTTGTCAGTAAAAATTAAGTACAACCTTCCCCCGACCCCAATCCACCTCAGTATTGCCATGTGGTACTGGTGAGCAACCTTTGGGAAATTAGATTCATTTTAAAATTCTGGCAGATAATTAAATTTTAAATCATAGGATTAGAAGCCTGTTTTGAGTAATTTAATCATTTTTGATGTCTTGATATGTGGACGCATCAGATGGTAAACAGTCTTGCTGCTAAGGCACTCTGTTAAAAAGCTATTCCAACAGGCCCCGCCCCTTCCCTGGGCCCTGCGCAGCCATGTTCTGCAGGCCGATCAGAACAGCCCAGCACATATGTATGTACAGTCATCCACTTCCCGCAAGCCTGCCCTTGATGCAGATGCTAGGGACACAAGCATGGGATCTCCTCAGCTCTCTGCTTAAAATCGCATCTCCCTGAAGTCAGGCCTTTCCCTTCCCAGATGTGTGACTCTCCTGGGAGTGCTGTCACTCAGCAATAATCCCTGCCTGGTGGCCGGCAGAGCTTTCCCTTTACCTTTATCTTCCTAAAATCCAGACTTAAGACAGAGCTGTCGGGGTGTAGCTCAGTGACGAAGAGTTGGTCCAGCAGCATGCCCCAAAGCCTGAGCTTAGTCATCTGGCACTACAAAACAAACAACCGGGCGATGCTCATTATTTTGAGCGGATGAGGAATGAAGGACGGATCTGTGAGACGGGCCAGCCATGTTGAGCAAGAGCTTCTGTTTTCCCTTTAAAGTTTCAGTCATGAAACTTTTTTTTTTTTTTTTACTGTTATGGCTATACTTCTTATACGAAGAAATATTCAATTTTAGTATATGGTGGTCCTGAGTATAAGTGATGTATCATGTTCAGAAACAGCTTTGTCTTAAAGAAGGAATGTATGGGCAGATTGTCTGTTATTGAGCATGAGTAACCTGTTGTGGAAAGGTAAACCGAGTCAGTGAATGCACTGTCTTGATTGTTAAAATTTATAGTAATTTTCAGCATCACCCTTCAAAGGGAATCTATTCAGGTTAAATACCATATTTATGCTGAAGTCTCTATGTGGCATTAACTGAAAATCCCATGTGAGTTCATAACTAAGTCACCAATAATTCAATTTTATCAAGCTTCCAAAATAATTTGATTTATTTTTGTAATGATTCTGCAGGCTGAGTCCCAACCTAAGTTGTAAATAACATCCAATAAATCAGTATAATTCTGTGACTTTATGTTTTAACCAAGAGTAAAAATTCATAGATCTTTCTATTAGATTTTATAAAACTTCCAAAGCCTCAAACTTAACTTTGAAGACTTTAAATTTTCTGATTCTTATCCTTTTTAATACAGTAAGTTTTTGTTCACATTCTTGAGTAAGATGTGTCCGGTCACTATTTAGCCTTCCAATGGAAAACTCAGGTACCTGAGCTGCTGACTTTTCTAATGTTCTTCGATCCAACTCAGTGCATAGAGGCTGTTTGCCTCGTCCATCACTCTGTTTTCCAAGTGCTCTTCCTGAGGAGGACCAGCCAGCTCTTTGTCCAACCTCTGGTTCACAGCAAACTGCTGTGTCCATCACAAATGTGCCATCTGTATTCTTAACTCCAGGGGCAGCGTCAGGCTCAAGGTGGGCAATGAAGTCCAGCAATGGAGTGCAGAACAAACAGCTGTCTGGTGGTTGTCTGGCTGCAAGGTCCTAACAGAGCCCCACCTAAGGGGCTGGCAGGATGGGTTTGTGGGTAAAAGGGCACTTGCCACCCAGACTAAGGACCTGAGTTTGACTCCCAGGATCCACACCGTGGGAGGAGAGAACCAGCTCCCATAAGTTGTGCTCTGGCCTCCACAGAGGTGCTATGGCATGAGCACCTACACAAATCCACACACTAATTAACGTAATTGTTTTCCATCACAAACACCTAAGAAGGAAACACCTCAGGAGAGCATTGTGTTTTCTTGTTACAGGATTTGGTCTGGTTTTGGATATCAAAACTCTTGATGAGATAAAAATCCGGTGTCTACACATGTAGGTTCTTCACGTTGCCCACCCAGCTCTTCCCTGCTGTTATAATGAAATCTGACAATCCCCATGGCATCTTGAGCCTGCTTTTCCAGGCAGCTTGGGAAATGTTCTTGCCCCACGGACTCTGTTCATTTTGATTGTACGTCCTGCTTCAGAAGGGTCTGAAACAACCCGGACTCCTTTTTTGGGTTTCTTGGAACAAAAGAAGTCCAGTTTTTTACAGTATGCTAGTTTATGGTTTCAATTTATCTCACTCTAATCCAATTTCATACCAAAAGCCCGATCAACAGTATTGGCATTTCAACAGTGACATTTATGGCTCACAGATACAAAATCCGTTAGCATTACTCTTGCAAATAACATAAATGTGGATGTAATTTCAGCTTCTTGGAGCATAAGACTACATTACTGTTGTCCTGTGACCCCTGAATGAGATGGTGCTGAATAGTTTACACTGGGCCAGAATCTCAAAAACAGGGCCACACTCAAGTGAGCAAAATGGCATGGTGACCAGGAAGAGACTTTCTGGAAGGGACTGTGTGATGTCTGCATCGTGTCTGCTTAGAGACAAAGTAAGAAAACTCAGACAGTGTTACCTAGAGCCGCCGTGAGTTTTCGGATTTAACTCCTGACCTTCTAATAATTTGGTATCAGCCTTCCAAACAAGTATCCATCCCCCATTCCCCTGTCCCAAAGTCGCCCACTAATAAGATGGCATCTTCATGTTTAAGGGAGAGAGAAGAGAGTCTCTCTCTGCCCCCGAGGAATTATTTGTTAATCAGAGGGATTATATAATATGTGCAGCTTAACTTGTTCACCAAATAGCAGCCACTATGTATTTAGGGTTTGGTGTCTGAGCCAGGGCCTTGCTTTGTAGCCCAGGCTGACCTTGAACTTGAGAATCTCGTGCCTCACCTTCCAGGGCACTGGATTGCAGGTGTTCACCCCTGACCTGAATGGCTCCTAATGTATTTGTTTGCATCTCTGTCATCCCACCATGCTACTCTTTGGGGTTGACACTCCACGCCTTATGTGCTTGCTCAGTGTTCTGCATTTGTTTACAATGTTCCCGTGCATTCAGACTGTCCAGTGCTGGAAAACTTCTTGGACTGTCAAGAAAAAGGACTGAGAGTTGATTTGTCATAATACATGTTCATGAAAGGAAACGTCTTAATGTTATTTGGCTATGTAGTGTATAGGAACAAAAATAAAGTCATTTTTGTAACTTAACTTGGGGATCCGTCCTTTACTTACTTGTTTTTTTAGAAACCATGCTTATCTTGTGTTCTTAAACTATTACCAAGGTTCTCTGGGCTGCAGGAAATAGGCTCCCTCTTACCGTGGGAGCTAGTTTCTGTAATTGTGAGTAATTGTTTCCTTCCTTAATTCACTGCACTGCATCTACCCAAGGTGTCCCTGGAGTTCCGTTTGTAATTAGTGCTTTAATGTATAATCTGGAGTACAATTTTTGTACAGTTGCCAAATCAGATTGTACAATGGCTACCCAGCTCAGCCTTGAGCAAATACACTTACGGTTACTTAGAGGAATAAGAATGGTCCCGCACAGCCAGAGAGGCATTCTCTAATTAAACGCACGCTTACGGAAGCCCGCTACACGACAGTTCTACATACTGTTGCATAGGCGTAAGAGAACCGTGGCTAGTGTTGATAATGCTCATACCTAAGCTGCCATCACCCATATTTTCTGGGAAGAATTATGTTGCTGGTAGTCATGTCTGGGGAAGGATGGCTGTGATGAGGAGTGGTGGGGAGGATGATGGGAGTGGCTGAGTGAGCTGTGTTTTAGAAACGGAAGCAACTCTGAGAGCACTATGAGCGTTAGAGACAAAAGCTGACACCCCAGAGTCCATATGTTGCGGCTTCAGAGCAGCGCACACGGCAGGAAAAGACCCCACTAGCTACTGCTCTCCACTCTTCCGTCTTCCAGTATTTCGAGATAAGCTGAGGCTCAGCAAGCCATGAGGTTAGTTACTAATTGTAGCTGAAGTTTTCCTGTGTCCTGCCTGGTCCTCAGCCACTCAGACCCAAGTAAACACAGAGGGTTATATTAACTAAAACTGCTTGGCCACTAGCTCAGGCCTACCACTGACTAGTTCTTGCACTTAAATTCAGCCCATTTCTGTTAATTTGTTACCACGTGTGTGTGGCTTTACCTGTGTGTCATTACATGCTGTTCCCTGGATGGCAGGATGGTGTCTCTTGACTCAGCCTTTCTCCTCCCAGAATTCTCCTTGTCTGCTGATCCCGCCTATACTTCCCGCCTGGCAACTGGCCAATCAGCATTTTATTAAACCAGTGTGCAAAAAGCATTATCCCACAGTGACTGTTGATGGCCAGCGTTTTGTTTGAGAGGAAAAGTAAATGTGCAGGGGAGAGTCACCAAAGTTCATTTGAGACTTGGCAGGGATGTGTCTTAGTCACTTTGCTGTCACTGTGATAAAACACCATAACCAAGGCAACTTGCAGAAGGAACGGTTACTTGCCTTAGGGCTCTGGAGGGTAAGAAAACACCATGGCAGGGAAGCGTGGTAGCCAGCCACCGGCATGCCAGCTCCAGCTGCAGTGGAAGCCCACAGCTGCAAACAGGAAGCAGAGGAATGGCAAAGTCTTGTGGGACCTCAAAGCCCTCCCCCGGGACGTACTTCCTCCATTAAGGCCACATCTCTGGTCCTCCTCAAGCAGCCACCAGCTGGGAATCAAACATGCAAGTGTTCGAGACTTATAGGAAACGTCTCATGCAAACCGCCATGGGGTAGTTCCAGGCTTACGCAGTATGAGTGCCATCCTACATACAAAGTAAAACACGTTTGCTAGTCACATCTATTTTTTGCATGTAACTTAAGGAGTGCAGACTACAGCTTGGATTTCACACTTGAAAATATTTAAAAAGCCAGATATAATGGCTCAGGCTTGTCATCTCAGCACTCAAGATGCTGGGGAAGGTTCCTTCAAGTTTAAGGCTATGGCTGTCTAAATAAACTCCAGTCCAGCCTAGACTGCAGCATGGAATGGAAATAAGTAAATGTAAACTTATAAACCTGTTTGAACCCTGCAACTTACAAATAAGCACCTGCATGACCAGCCATGCCATAAATGAGTGTTTTCTGAGCTTTAATATTTTATATAGATTATACAAAGTAAGCAACGGTACTATTAAACGTCTATACCAAGTGACCCATTGCAATTGATGCAAAGATTCTTCTACCAGGAAAGTCTGAAAGCAAGTATAACATGGGTTCTCTCTCTCTTTTTTTATTCATTCCTTATAAAATTAATTTTATTTCAAGTTAACTTATACTCAGACAGACACTATTAATGTGTTTGAAGCCAGACATCATGGTTCACTGTATGATCTGACTTAAAAAAACTGAGATGGAGATTATGATTTCAAGGCCGGGTTTGGCTTCATAGCAAGACCCTGTCTCAAAATTAAATAAACAAGTAAGTTTAAAAATAAATGTTTGGTGTACCAGGCTTTTTCTTTTGGGGCCACCAACCAGCTCCCAAATCATGACACAGAAACTTATTATGTTCTTTGAATGCTTGGCCTTAGCTCTTATTTTAATCTGTTTCTCTTTATCAACATTTTGCCTCTGGGCTTTTTACCTTCCTTCCTCTCTCTCTCTCTCTCTCTCTCTCTCTCTCTCTCTCTCTCTCTCTCTCTCTCTCTCTCCCTTTCCTGCAGGTGGCTGCCTGGCTTCTGGCCACAATTGTGTCCTTCTCTTTCTTCCTCCTCCCCCTCATTCTTCTTCCCTAGATTTCTCCTCCTCCTTATTCTCTCTGCCCACCAGCTATTGGCCATTCAGCTTTTTATTAGACCAATCAGGTGCCTTAGGCAGACAAGGTGAAACAGGAACACATCTTTGCATATTAAACAAATGCAGCAAAAACAAATGTAACACATCTTTACACAGTTAAAGTTATACTTCACAACATAAACTAATGTAACACATTTTTACACAGTTAAAGTAATACTTCGCAACATAAACAAATGTAACACATCTTTGCCTAGTTAAATACTCCACAACAGTTTGGATCTTATTGCAAATTTCAGGTATATAGATCTTGAGAAAAGAGACACACATACACATTTCATACTCTATATTTAACTCACAGTTACAATTTAAAACATCAGTTTCCAAGAAGTGATTCTGTATGACCAGAAACTCACAGCATTTTCTTCCTTATAAGTTGTGAGGGTTCTTGGAATTCTAAGTTCACATAGACCATGTGGGGTGATTATTGAGGTCATATTCTCAGCGACACTGCGCGGCTCCAGATAGCTTTCTTAGGTTGAGGTAATCCAAGGGTTAACTTTGAGACTAATTAATTTGTTAAGACAGAAGTGGTAAAAAGTTTAGGAAAGAGTGGATGGATTGTGTTTGTGTGGCTGAGTTTGCCTACGTTGTGTTTCTTCGATGATCTTGATGTCAATTTAATGGGGTTTAGGATCATCATGGAAACAATTCCTGTGCATGACTGTGAGGGGTTTTCGAGGTGAGGTGAATTGCGGTGGGAAGACTCATCCTAAAGACTGACAGTACCAGGGGCTGGAGAGATGGCTCAGAGGTTCAGAGCACTGGCTGCTCTTCCAGAGGTCCTGAGTTCAATTCCCAGCAACCACATGGAGGCTCACAACCATCTGTAATGAGTTCTGGTGTGCAGGCATACATGGAGGCAGAACACTGTATATGTAATAAATAAATATTAAAATACTTTTTAAAAAAAAGAATAAAATGATCTTAATTTAAAAAAAAAAAAGATTGGCAGTACCATTCTATGGGCTGGAGATCCAACCTGAATAAGAGGGAGGAAGTGAGCTGAGGGCCAGCATCCATGTCTCTCTTCTGCTCCCTGACTGTGGACTCAAAGCAGCAGGCATTCTGCCTGTGCCTCCCCCACCATGGCCAACTGCACGCCCTGGAACCACGAGTCTAGAAAAGCCCTTCCTTCCTTGAGTCGTTCCTACTGCGTGCTTTATCACAGCCGTGGGAGAAGTGACTGGTGTGACTTCTTTGTAATTTCGACTTCTTTATGAAAAATCCTTCATAGGGTAGTCAGTCCCCAGAAATACCTGAAAAGCCATGAGCAGTACTCTTTAAACTGTCATGTCGTGGGGCTTTTCTGTGAATGTGTGTAGCAGGAAATCTGCTAGTTCAGAATCAGAAGGCTGCTTTTATCTGCTCTCTCCAGGTCCTCTAGTGTGACTCAGAAGCGTTCCTGGTAGTCACACTCTGAGCCTCAACAGCAGCCTCAGCCTGGTGATGGACCTCATTGTTTTATGCATCAAGAAACAGACAGGATGTTGGCAGCCTTTGGGTCTGTGAGTTCATACTGTAAAAATGCAAACCAGATATTAGGTTTCAGTCGCAACAACGCCGTCTGAACATTTACCTGCATAAATGTTTAAGTTATGTGTAAAGGATCAGACTGCGCACACAAACACCAGCAGAGGAGGAAAATGATGCTGCCACTTGCTTAGTAAGTGACCTCCTGCTATTTAATGTGCTGTCCAAAATTTAGAATCCGCGGTTTAGTTCAAGTGCTAACGTTTAAAAAAAAAAAGAAGAAGAAGAAGAAGAAGAAGAAGAAGAAGAAGAAGAAGAAGCCTCAACTAGAGCAAACCAGCTAGATGATATTATTATGTAATCTACCTCAGAAAGTTCTAGGGACTACTAGTTCTTTCAGTTGCAGATCTGATCCAGATCCTGTATCAAAAATGAAAGTCCAATAAACAAATAAAATAAAAATTTGGAATTTAAAAGCTGGGCACGATGGTTCATACCTCTAGACTCAGCACTCAGAAAATGGAGGCAGGAAGATCCCAAGTTTGAGACCAACCTGAGCTATGTAGCAAAACCTTGTCTCAAGAACAAAATAGTTTAAAAGTAACTCTAAAAGCTTTATGACATCATTTCTGTAGCACTGTGGGGACAGTTACCAAGCATAGCTTGTGTTCTCTCCTAAAAACACTTTAGAATCCTGTGTGTTTTCAGTGTACACAGGGAGAAAGAAAAACATACAAAAATATATCCCACACTCTGTAGGTGCTTAAGGGACCAGGAGGGTCTATGGATGAACAGGCTGGAGCCCATGGAACAACCTGAGATATTTATCTTTAAGGGATTTAATATATTTAAATTTCTTCTAATGGTTTAGATTTGCATTGTGATTTGGGCCACTCCCAGCTTCATTGGGGTGATTTTAGG